CTGCATTTAACCACTGCGCCACCTCGGCTCTTGCAAGTATAAATTTGCAAGTATAAATTTGCTTCTCTCTTCCCCCCTTTATCTTTGTGATAACTAGGGAGGGTTTTACTAGGTTACATTGTTAGGCTTCTGTGGACTCATTTATTTTTTAAAAAAAATCTTGGCAGCCCCTTTTTCTGTCCCTCACCCTATTTACGTATAGATATATATTGCATAACCCTGCATTCGAAATATGGATTTACATTTTAATGTAATTTTTGCTCAGACAATCTTACCTGATCTGCTAGGCGGGTCCCTTATAGGAGGTGGTGGTCTCTCAACTGGGGGCGGAAGTGGAGGTCCAGAACGATTGGGGCAAGGCATACAAGGGACTAGCGATGTGTTCCTTTGAGGAAGCCGTGGCATTTCATCATTTCCGCCAGATGCCGGTGGAACTGGAGGTGGGCCTGGCCGACTTGGGGGAAGAGGAGGAGGTACGGAAGATATTGCAGGTGGTCGTGGTGTGGAAGGAATTGGCGGCTTGTGGTTTTGGGGCGGGGGAGGTGGCAGGGAAGCCTCCCTGCTGACAGATGGCCTGTTTCCACTTGGAGGTAATGGCGGAGGTGTCTTATCTTCTGTTGGCCTACCTGGTACTGGAGGGAGAGGAGGCCTATTTGAGAAGGGAGAAGGAGGACTAACTGGTGATGATTGTCGAATGGATCCTCCAGGCCCTGAATTTCTATTACCAGGGAAAGGTGGAGGGGTAAGCCCTATGCTCGCTTGTCTGCTGGCTCCGGGCACAGGGGGTGGACCTCTGTTGTACAGACTGGATGGAATAGGTCTTGGAGTATTTGGCACAGGAGGAGCACCCGTGTCAGGCCTGGAGCCAAAGTCAGGTCTTGAGGGAGGCATTCGGTTTCTCTGTGGCTCTGTTGCTGGCGCTCTTAGTCCAGAAGGGCCTGGAAATCTGCCTGGTCCACTTGGAGGTGAAAAAGGCTTAGCAGATGTTGCTCGTCCTCCTGGTGGAAACACTGGAGCTTTGTTTCCTGCAGAGTCTAAAAATAAAAAGCAATTAGTGAATGCATGTACAAAGGTGTGTAGAAGGGGAAATAAATTGTAATCTGGAGGATTTTGTATAATCAATTTCGACCTATAGTAGATGCTTGTCGAAAAGATGGAAACATAAATCAACAGCTCCTTCCTCTTAATATATATCCCAACAGGAAATTTTCCTCATTCAGGTCCTTCAGTGGTGGGTTCCTACCGGTTCAGACCGGTTTGCCCAAACTGGTAGTGGTTTGGCGGCCTGCGTCACCGGAATCGGCAGCAACCCAGGGCCGCCACCCCCTGAACCGGGTCCCTGGTTGGCGCTGTTGGCACCACCATCTTGTTTTTCACTTCTGTGCACGCGCAGAATGATTTTAATTATATGTGCATGTGCAGAATTTTAATTATATGTGCATGTGCACATAGCACGAATAAGTAGGCTCGTGCAAAATGTGCATATGAGCAAACCAGCAGTACTGCCTGCTGGAACCCACCGCTGAGGCACTTCCAATGATACTGAACTGCATTTCCAATAATCCTGATCCATTATGGATGATAGGGCTTGTAATAGTCCAAAATGTCTGGAAATTATCAGGTCGGAAAAGCTGATTTTCTGCCAAAAACGGTTAATACAAGCCAGATTAGATAGAAAATAAATCTACAATTGTTTTTAAAAAGCTTGTAATGTATAGGAGTTCTCGCTTCGTATTTGAACTAGGCTCCGTTTAGTTCATGCTATTACCCTCTCTACGTTAATTTCAATTAGTATAATTAGATCTGCTTGGTAACTCTTGAAGAAAAGTTCTACACATTCAATATACTATAAAACAAGAGGGAAGGGCAAAGACATTTCTTGACTATTCCTGAATTTCCTGAAGGAGAAAAGGCAAACCTCTCAAAGCAACCCTGGCATGTTAAGTGCTATGAGATTAAAAGGAAGATCTATAAAAAGCTGCTTTGACATAAGAGGTAATGCTGGCTTTGAACAATTGTTATATCACCACTTGTTGAAAGTGCACTTTGGATATTTTAACAGTGCTACTTCATTCATATGCTTGCGAACAAAGAAGGTACAATTCTGTCTTCCTGTAAACTCCCTGGCTTGTATTTTCTAGCCAAGAAATGTATGAAGTGTCAGGAAAACAATAAATCATGTGGTACAATGCATATTGCTTTTCGGAAATCTGTGCACTGTTTATATATTTTTTGCCCTCTTGTAATTTTATATTGCTATTATAGAATGCTGTTGAGACTTTTTTAAAATGAAAGTTGGCAAATAAGCATCTTAAATAACTAAAATAAACATATCCCTTTTCTTCAGGCATACTGTTCCAAAATTTGATACCAGCATAATGAAAACAATTAAATAAATGACAGTCTAATGGAAAGTTATTACTGTACTAACTTTCACAATTTCCTGACTGGGTCTACATATCACACTAAACCGTAATGTAACCAATCGGTTCATTGCATGTACTTCACTGAGTTATAATGAAGTATGTAAAATTAAGTTTTTACACACAATATGCTAAATCCAAATCAAACCAGCATTATGGTTAGGTCTGATATGCAAATCCAACTAATATACTATATAAATTCAACCTATTAAATAAATCAGTGCAGCCTGGAAAATGCACTAATATGGAGATGAATTGATGGACTTTGGGTTGATTGATAAATTGGACAAATCGCTTAACCAAGCTCACAGAATTATTGTCTAGATAAAACAGAAACATTTCACGGCTAGCATCTTGAACTTTGCAAAGCAGGATATAAATTATTGATGAATAAAATAAATAGGCAAGAACCTGAATGCAACGGAACAACAAGATACAATTCTCTAGATAAGGGAGGGGCAGAAGAAAAGAAAAGTAATAGTGAACCCTAAAGGTCCTGGCTTAATAACCTTTCCACACAAATGAGTTAAAAAGTATTTTCTATCTACCCTTGAGTCAGCAAAAAAACTACAGTGGCATAAGACAGGCTGTTCCCATTGCCAATCCCTGTTCCAACTCTGCCACCTCTATTTCTCGTTTCCTCCACAGTAATGGGCAATAAAACCTAACAAATGTCACACAATCTAAAGTTGACTTTGAATAATGATGATGCAAATACCCAGCCTTAAACTACCCTACTTTGGGCATATTATGTGAGGACTTAGCTCTCTAGAGTAGGGTGTGTCATTTGAAGACCTGAAGGACTAGGTTAGGGACCGATCGTCATAGTGGAAGTCTATCTTGCTAAGAGTTAGTGATGACTTAATGCCCCATAAACATTCAAGGTTGTGTGGGTGGGTGGGTGGAATACTACATAACAGCTATAGATGCCTTAACCTTGCTATTAATGGTTTGGAGATAAAAGTGAAGGTAGCCCCATGGGAACCCTGCAGAGCAAAAAAATGTCAGGGCATATTTGCACTGTGGTTAGGTGCAAGTGGGGACATGCTTAAGTGGTGAATACTGAGTCAACAATTTTTTTTAAAAAAAGGATGTACTGTATGTGTTGTTTCCATACTTCTACACTTGATAACAAAAAGGAAAAAAAACGGCAATTGTGCCAAGAACATCTAGAGTAAAGGAACAAGGTTCAACTTCAGGTGCACATGATCTATTAACAACTGTAAAACTCAATATAGACTTTGCAATAGACCAAATGTGATAACTCTTCAAATTTGAGACAAATTTGTGGGTTTTTTCGGCTCGGAAAAGGTGTTGGGGCCCCTTCCTTGTCATGCCTGCAATACACAGGAAGTTAACTAAATATCTTGCTTGTGAGAAACCACTGTTCATTTATGATAGGAGAAGAATATTTTCTTGAGTTTTTGTCTTCACTGATTTAATAGTTGTAAGTATTGTCAGTCCAAGGTACTAGGTTTCTAGAAATGCAGCTGTCTTACTAGCACACCTCCTCCTTACCATTATCTCTGTTTGTAGGTCTAAGTTTTGGCATCCCTGCTTGGAACAATCCTCCTAAGCCGGGAGGTCCACCGCCACCATAACTATTACCGCTGCTACCGCTGCCACTGCTACCACTGGAGAAACCAGAGCTGCCGCCTCCGCCACCAGCTGGCCCTTTTGGTTCTGTAAAGAGAGGAAAATTGAAGGGTTCTTAAATCATGATTCTGAATCCACAAATACTTTGTTGGCTGTTTATATCTAGCTTAAATTAAATCACAACCACCCTGTCCCTAAACAGAAAATTGCTTTAGGCTCTATCACTGGAGCCTTTATATCATAACTATATTAATTAAGAATTTTTAATTAATATAAGTTTAGTTTATTTATTTAAGTCTCTGTGATGTTAACTCACCACATTAACCTCTCCCCATCTGGTCCCTTGCAACTGTATTGGTCTTCAATTCTCAAAATGTTCAGCTACCCTGTTTCCTTGAAAATAAGCCCTCCCCAGATAATAAGCCCAATCGGGCTTTTGAGCGCATGCGCTAAAATAATCCCTCCCCCGAAAATAATCCCTCCCCGAAAATATTGCAATACAGCAGCCATGAGGTGACCATGCTCGCCGCCTCCTGCACCTCAAAAATAATAAGACCTCCCTGAAAATAAGGCCAAGTGCTTATTTCGGGAGTCAAAAGAAAATAAGACCCTCTCTTATTTTCGGGGAAACACAGTACTAGTCCAATCTTTCATCATAAGGGCTGGAAATCATGTAAATTGAAGTCCTTGGAATGGCTACATATAGATTGTTATGAATAAAATCTCCCCACAACCTCAGATTAATGTCTGGCATTTATTTCTAGGTTAAAGGAAATCTAAGAAGGGAAACAGGATTTCTTTGATTCTTTCTTAGAATAAATTACCTTGATAAAATTAGGAAATACTGTTTTATGTCAGCTTTAGAATTATATTTGAGACATAATTCAGACAAATTAATATGTTTTAAAGATGATGATAATGATAGTAATAATAGTAATAATAATAATAATAATAATAATAATAATAATAATAATAATAATAATAATAATAATAATAATAATAATAATAGAAAATTTGCCATCTTTTTATTGGGGCTTTGGGACTGAGAAATCCTATTTGCTGTAGGCCAGCAACATCTTGTGGTCTGCTGGGAGCATTTTCTTCTTTTTATTTATGTGGCTGTTTTTCTATGATATGAACCAGGGACGTGCAGTCAGGGGAGGCAGAGGAGGCAGAGCCTCACCACTGTCATCATGAAAAGAAAAGAAAAATGTAAAAGGAAAAAAGCAAGAGCTGAGGTCAGGCTGAGCTAGTTGCTGCCAGTCACCGTGGATGACTCTGCTTAGTGCTTAACTGTTTAAAAAAGCCTCTAAAAAAGTGCCCTCTACAGGAGGCAGGAGAACGACCTGCCTCATCTAGTCTGACTTTAGGTGTTTTATGATCACTCGAGCAGAGTTAAGCAAGGGTTAAAAGCCTAAAGATTCCCGACGTAGGTGAGGTACGTCGTTCTCCTGCCTCCTCCTGTAGAGGGCACTTTTTTAGAGGCTTTTGTAAACAGTTAAGCAGAGTCATCCACAGTGACTGGCAGCAACTAGCTCAGCCTGACCTCACCTCTTGCCTTTTTCCTTTTACATTTTTTTTCTTTTCATGATGACAGGCAAGAGCAGAGTTGAAATCCTCTCTGAAACAGCTGGAAAAGGTACGTGTGGGTCGGAGGGAGGGGGAGGAATTCAAACTTCATCCTCAAGTGTAGATCCCTCCCCAAGTGTAGTTTGATTGCAGGCAGAGCCACATTGATAAAACTATATAAGCCCAGCTTCACCGATTACAAGTTTGAAAAGGCATCGTGGCTCCACCTGCAATCAAAGGCTTAGATCGGCTCTGGCTTCTCTGCCTCTTCTCTCACTCCAGCCTGCAAGCGCATGTGTCTGTTTGAGAGAGGGGGGAGGGAGGGAGGAGGGAGGGAGAGGGAGGGAGAAGAAAAAGAATGAAGGAAACTTTTTCGCAAAGGAGAAAAACAAATGCTGGCGCTTTAAATCGGAACTGAGCATGCCTGGCTTTGGAATTCTGAGAGTTGAAGTCCACAAGTCTAAAAAAATTTGAAACTCACCACTATGTCACTGCCTCACCAGCCATAAACCTCACCACACGTCACTGATATGAACAACTGGGTAACTTACCTGTTTCACTATTAAATGGTTGCATTACAGATATTTAACATTTAAAGGCTATATTTTTCTTCTTTTAATAACATTTTTGTTCTGTTTATCTCAGGGCACATTGGTCTGCCCCCTAAGTCAGAGGAATGGTTAGAATCTCCAGTTACACAAGTAGAAACTGAGGGAGTTACTATATAAATTATTTCAAGTTTAACATATTTGATATTTTAATTGCTAGAAAGGCAAAACAGACTGGTTTTGAGAAAACTGAAAACCTTATTTATCTCATATATTGGAATGTTTGTTGTGAATGCACAACTGCAGGCTCAGATTCCCACAGACCACGGATGTTAACTTGATTGCGTTACGTGATGTATCACGTTTTTTGCCTTTGTGGAGCTGGGGTGTGGGCTACATGTGATGTATCCGGCCTGTGGGCCTCCAGTTTGACACCCCTGCCATAGACGGCTATTATGCCAATATAGATATCTCCATCCATATCTTGTTGAAGGGGAAATGCTTTAATTGTCATTCAGGTTATAATATTTGTGTTTGTTTTCAAAATTGAAACAGAATCTGCTGAATATTGAGGCTGAGAAATGAAGGCTTCTACACTGTTCTTCAGAACTCAGACTAAAGTTTGTAATTTTCAAGAAAAAAGGAAGTATAAGACACTGAATCAGATAAAATATCATTTTTGGAAGAGGATTATATTTCTGAAGGAACAGATCACAAGGCTAAGGTGGAATTTACATTAGAACTTCGTTGTTTGTTTCCCTCTTGATGTTTATATTTCCTTTCTTTTTTTCTTTTTTTGTGTAAACTATACTGAGTGTATTCTTGTTTAAAATATACTGAGGATATTTATCTACATGTATCTTCATTGGTGCAGGGCTAATATTCCTTTTTTAAAATCTTAATGACTTGGTAGAAAGTTCCTCTCCCAACACTTTTTAAAAAATTATCAATTATAAAAAAAAAATTGATGAAGGAATTACAAGGAAAGGAGGAGTCAGAATATTATTTAGTTTGGGGAAAATGGTACAAATGGTTAGACAATAGAAAAGAAATTGGGAAATGTAAAATTAAGGTATAGTAGAAGAATTAGGATATAGCGATAAGATAGGGGGTAGGAAAGGTAAGTTAAGATATACTAACGTAAGAAAAGTATATACAATACAAGATAGGCAATATGATAGTCTGATAAAAAAAGGCTAAATATAAATAATTAAGGAAAAGTACATGAAAAGGAGTAAGGTTAGGTTAGGTTAGGTTAAGTTTATTTATAGGCCGCCCTTTTCCCTGAGGGGACTCAGGGCGGCTTACAACTTATATAGGAAGGGGAAACATACAATGACATATAGGACAATACATAATTAAAAGAGTAAAGCAACATTCATTCAACATTCGGGCGGGGATGGATTATAATCTTTAACCCCAGGCCTGACGGGATAGCCAGGTCTTGAGGGCTCTGCGGAAGGTCTGGAGGGTGGTGAGGGTACGAATCACCATGGCGAGATCGTTCCAAAGGGTCGGAGCTGCTACTGAAAAGACTCTCCTCCGCGTAGTTGCCAGTCGGCACTGACTGGCAGATGGAACTCGGAGGAGGCCCAATCTATGCGATCTAATGGGTCGTGAGGAGGTAATTGGCAGGAGGCGGTCTCTCAAGTACCTAGATCCACTACCATGAAGGGCTTTGTAGGTGGTAAGAAGCACCTTGAAGTAAGAAACAAGGTGACCACAAATGGAAAATTGGAATGTATAGGAGGGGAAACAATAACTGTAAAGATTTACTGATATGTAACTGCTGTATGATGGAACGTTTAGTTCCTGTGTTGTTTTAAGTTACGTGTTTGTTTTTGTTGATGTCTTTAAGTGTTTAAAATAATTTTTTAAAAAAATTATCAATTTTTAGGGGAAAGTACACCACATCCCTGCCAGACAGATGGTAGCAGACACAACTATCAAGGGAGTTTTCCAAAGCAGGAGGCAGGGCTAGGACAAGAAAACCCAGGGGACTTCTGAGAAGGAAGGTTCGAGGCCTCCAGAGTTCAGGCTCACAGGCTCAGCCATTCCCTTGACGAGAAGGAAATACTTACTATCAAAAACTGGGGCGCTCCTATCATTGGTAACAGCCTTCTTCAGCTTTTTTCCTTTGGTAATATCCGACAATAAAGCATTTCGTCCTGACTGCTCTGATCTATTCAAACTGGGCTTCTCTATGTTTGCCTGCCAAGTAAAAATACAAAATATTAGAACGAGGACAGAAGCAATGAAATCAGAATATTTCTTCCTAAACCATCACAGCTTCATGAGTTCCTATGGAGCTTTATTTTTAGCACATGCAGGAAACATTTAGCTGGATCAGATTTTATACCCTTCAAATTACAAGGGCCGGGTTAAATGGAGTAACTTCCAAATTCTGATTGGTATCAACAGTGGTACCTAGTTTGCATACTCTCCATCAGCACAGCCTGAGGATGGAGAACATATGTCACATCTTGTTCAACAATTGCTAGCATTTGGGCCTTTTATGTACCTTATTTTTCGGAGTGTAAAACACGCCAAAATTTTGAAGAGGTAAATTTTTTTAAAAAGGTTGTGCACTCTGCAGGCCTCCCAAACCTTCTGCACGTTTCATTTTTTTGTGAAAGTGCAAAGTGCTCCTGGGGGCTGGGGCACCCCAAAACGAGCAAAGAATGGCCCGTTTTTCACAAAAATTGGCCCATATTTGCTCATTTTTGCCCTCTCCAGCCCCCAGGAATACTTTGCAGGTCTCCCAAACCCTCTGCATGCCCCATTTTTATGAAGGGGGCATAGTTTCGGGAGGCCAAAAATGCTGTATTCAGTGTATAAGACACTCCCAGATTTTCACTCCCTTTTTTGGGAGGGAAAGGTGCGTCTTATAATTCGAAAAATACGGTATATTAGTAAGACATCTTTAAAACTACCATCTCATTCCACAAACCCATACAGCCTTGAATCATAGTTACTAATTTCACGTAGTATCAATTTAAAACTAAAGACATATTTGAGTCAAGCTAACTCGAAAAAGACTTCGAACCATTTTTCTCGGTAGCAAGTAATACAGAAGAAATTTGGCAAGCTTCACCCCTGCCCCCTCAAAAAACCAGTATTGAAATATGTTTATTTTTCTCTGCTTAAATATCTTACCATCACACAGCCAAATGTGTCATTTCAGAATGCATGTTTGGAGTGAGGTTTGCATGTATGTGTGTATGAAAAATGATACAAAGAGAGGTTACACCGGTAATTTATTTCAAAAAAAGCATTTCAAGAAAAATTGGTAAAGTAAATGGTTTGATTAAAAAAAAAGATGGATGAATACACAGTAAAAGATAAAGAAAAATAATATTTAAGGATTCCTTCCAGGGGATACTTTTTAGCATCATGGTTGCTAGGGCAGCATCTGATAAGAATGGGACAACATGCTGCAGCCAACTCACCACGACCAATTGACCACGGCTAACTCACCATGGCCAACTTGCCATGGTCAACTCTCCGCCAGGCAACTCACCGCAGAAAAATTCAACAATTCAATTTAATTATTTAAAATAATTTAAAAAATTATTTTAATTTTTGTCATTCACATTTCATTTTGTCCTTCCTTTGACATCCTTTCTTTAATTATTATATTATAATAATTATTAGAATATACATGTATGTGTATTAGAATATACAATTTCTTTGATATTAATGTAACTCTTGTTCCATGGCAAATTGTCCTGCAGAGAATTGGCGAGTTGTCCCATGATGAGTTGACTGTGAAGAGTTGTTCTAGACCTACATTTGATGGTAGGATCGCTGGCATAAGCTAAGCTTGGCATCATCCATCAACATATTCAGCCTGGGACAACGATTTACACACACCAGATTTTTTGTCTTTCGGAAGGTTATAGAGATGTATGTAACTATGAGAAAGTTGCATTGTACACGACATTACAAAAATGAGTCAGCTTAAAGAATGAAATATTTTGCACAAATATGTAGATGAATGTGGGCTGATGTATGTGGTACAGGGGAATACAGGGGAGTAAACTGAATATTTAACCAATGGCTCAACCCTGAGCAGTGTGAAAGACAAGGCTGAGCCATTTCCCCTGGTACATTAATTAATATAATGGCTAAATGTACATGCGTGTTCATGGTGATATTAGACCTGTGTGAGTTGGGGACATGGATGTATATCCATTTTGTATGGAGATGATGCTGTGTAGCTGATTAAGAACTCAAATGATTAGCAGCAAACATTAATAGATCCTATGAAGCAAAAAAAGAAATGGTGTGTGGTGTGTCTAAAAACGAATGTATTAAAGGTTAAACAAGTTGTCTTTAACCATAAACATGGCAAAAGAAAGTCATGTTGGGAATGAACTAATGACATCCTCAAAAAGGGGCAGGTGAGAAAATGGAGCCCAGGGAGACTGCACGCAGCTCTGTTTTAGCTGGCATAGGATTGCAGGAGGCTGTCACGGCCAAAACAGAGCCTCGAGGAGCAAAGTTGAGCTGGCCATGCCCCCCACTCCTGAGGTCAAACACAATCCTGATGTGGCCCTCAATGAAATTTGAATTTGACACCCCTGGTGTATAAGTATAACATTGCTTTCCAGAATGAGAATATCTCTAGACAGATTAGAATTTATGAATGAGAAGTTCAGCTAATTAACTAACTCTGGAAATTTATTTTCCTGAAGTAAAATGCATGTAGTATAAATGGCAGATATGTGGCCTCTAAAGATGCAATTGTATATAAGAAGGGCAGCTATATCAATGTTATAAACTTACTAACAAACAAACAAGAATGTAGCAAAAATAAGCCCAGCCCAGTTATACATCCATCTATGAATGACTAGGGACTTAAATGAAAGCAGACATTCAAATTTGAATACAAATAAGCCTGTGAGGAAAATACACTTTTAGAAAATTGCTAATTTGGAAAGACAAGTTTGCACAGACTTGTTTTCTATAAGCTAACACTTTTAGATTAGTGGATAATCTCATAGGATTTCCTGGCTTTATTTGTAGAGGAGCAAAATTGTTGATTACAATACTTTTTATTAAAACCACTTGAAGTTTTTTCATCTGCCAGTTCAAACAGCTGTGTGGCTATTTCCAATTTTTCAAACTTGCAACCTATGTTTAAAATCTGCTGTGTACTGCTAGAAAATGTAAACTATATTTTCTTAACAGAAATATCAGCCCATAATAAAATTTAACATAAACATACGAAAACATTTGCAAGGGTAAGATGAAACAGCTTAAATTTTCTCAAATGTTGTAAAAGCTGACTCATGTTTGTTCAAAGTTTAACTTAAAAAGTGTATTTTACCCCTACCACCAACTCCCATCCCCGGTGTAAATCTTGCGAATGTTCTTGCATTTTGTTGTTGTGTTAAATTTCTATTATATTTACACAATAGCAGTGTGTCAATATCTCAGGGGTTGCCACAAAGAAGAGAGAGTCAGCGTATTCTCCAAAACTCCCGAAGGCAGGACAAGGAGCAATGGATGGAAGCTAATCAAGGAAAGAAGCAACCTAGAACTAAGGAGAAATTTCCTGACAGTTAAAACAATTATCAGAGGAACAATTTGCCTCCAGAAGTTTTGGATGCTTAAACACTGGAGGTTTTTAAGAAGAGATTGGACAGCCACTTGTCTGAAATGGTAAAGGCCAGGGGTGTCAAACTCAAGGCCCGCGGTCCGCATCCGGCCTGTTTTTGGCCAGTAGAGTGCTGCGGGAGGCCATGGAGGGCAAAAACAAGGTGCAGGGGACTGTGTGCAGCCCCCCCCCCCATTTTGGCTGGTAAAGTGCTTCCCTCCCCCGTGCCCCATTTTGGCTAGCAGGGTGCCACAGGAGGCATTCATCCCATCCCGGTACTTGAGAGACCGCCTCCTGCCAATTACCTCCCTAAGACCGATTAGATCCCACAGATTAGGCCTCCTCCGAATTCCATCAGCCGGCCAATGTCGGCTGGCAACTACCCGGAGGAGAGCCTTCTCGGTGGCTGCTCCGACCCTCTGGAACGAACTCCCCGTGGAGATACGTACCCTCGCCACCCTCCAGACCTTCCGTGTAGCCCTTAAGTCCTGGCTGTCCCGACAGGCCTGGGGCTAAAGATTTCAACCCCACTCGAATTGTATGACTGTTGTGTTCTTTTAATGATGTATTGTTTTTATGTTTGTACTTTGTTTGTCCTCCCTCCCCTTGACTTGTGAGCCGCCCTGAGTCCCCTCAGGGAAAAGGGCGGCATACAAATAAATTATCTATCTATCA